CTCACCCCCAGACCCTTGCTACTGTCACTGCATTGTGGCTGCAGTGCAGGCACGGCCACAGGCAAGGGCGCAGTTGCGGTTGTGGGGCCAGCAGGACATTTTGCCTACAGCAGCAAAACATCCTGGGCCGGCCCTGCATACATGATCACACTTAGGACCTTTTACAAAATATAAGTAAAACAATCAACTGGGCATCAAAATGACATCAAATTAAATAGCAGCTGGTGTGGACAGATACATCAATAGGACTTACTCCCATGTAAATAGCATGCAGCATTTCAGCCTTACAAGTAACCAGAGAATGCAACTTGAAAAATAAAAGATGATAAAATACTTTGATCACAGCCTGCGAACCTTGAGGGATGCTCCTCTTGATTTACTTTTACTTTGTACACTTAAGATGAGGAAGTAAATGTTTTGCTCAGGCTGTTTAAGGTTGTCAGTTTCTTGGCATTAACTATAAAATATAGACTACCTAAAAACATTCGAGGAAAATAATAAAAAAAAAGATTTTACAAATTGGAAAGGACAAGTTTTCTCTTGATAGTCAAACAGTTATGATGTAAAGCGGTCTCATTAAATCATAAGTACTTTAACCTTTTCTTGAAAGAACTGGAAGATTTAAAGATTTATAAAGAAATTTTGCCTAAACTAGGAAATGACTCACATTTGACATGCATTGAAATGATAATGCTGATTTCAACAGGCACTCTAAGAGCATTTTGCTCCCAGGAGAGTAATTCAGTTCTGGTTACCTCTTTGCATTTCGAATTTAAACTTTATTTCTAGGGCTTTTAATGTGCTGCTGTCTGCCAAAACACGGCAGAGTTACACAGATATGATCAGGCAAAATAAAGGCTAGTAAAAACATAATTTAATAATTACAGACACTGAATTTGCAACAAACATTCCTAGCTGGCAGACTCTTATGGACACTCACACCATATCCAGTGTGGATATCAAAGCACAACATTCCTAAAGAACTTAAAACTTCATCCTTTCGTTTATCCTTTTAGACAGAGAATGTGAGGGAGCAATCCCAAGAAAGATAGATCACATCTCAATCCTACAGAACAGTCAAAACAGAGATTACGTATCACCTGCAATAACTTATCTGTGGCAGGTGGTTTGTACCTGATCCAGGTGTAGCCTATCTGCTACCCTTTTCAAATCAACTGTTACCATGGGGGAGTTTCTATCAGCTGCCCTAGAGCCTCTGGCCCATAGCCTGACCTTAAAGGCCAATAAAATAACACACAGTGGAACTGCCGGGTTTGCATGGTATACAAAGCCATTAAAAAGTGGAGGCTGAGCAAAGCTGAACTGAGTTTCTGGTCAACAAAGCGGGACAGCAAGTGTTGGATTGCACCCTGGCGATTTTTTTAAGCGATGGCAGCCTGGAAACCTTGCTCCTTCCACTTTATTGAGTAAGTAACAGCCATTTCTCAAGCTTCTCTCCAAAAGGATCCAATAGTAAAGGTCTTACTACTAGCATATAAAGCCCTAAGCAACCTGGGGCCAGTGAACTTAAAAGATCACCTCATTCCTTATACCTGTGCCTGATCTTTATAATCTGACCCTGAGGCAGATCTTGCAGCGCGTGGCACTGTCAGGCTGTCCTCAGCAAGAAACTGTGCATTTAGTGTGTTGGCACTAGGATTAATGAACTCTCTAACTAATGAAATCAAGCTAGCACCGTCTGGTAATGAATTTTAGGCACCAACCTGAGAGTTGGCTATTCAAGCAACCCTTCTTATGAAAACAAATTACTGTTCCTGTAACTTTCTAGTCATGTGACCCATGCTTCCCCCCCCCCCTTGATTTCATTGTTACATTGTTTTTGGTTTTAACTGATATTTTGTACTCCTCATAGTTATATGCTTAAATCAGTTTCACGATATACGAATAAATAACATAAATAAAACAGTTCTGCGGCTGGGAAGCCAGTTTGGGCCCTGACACTAGTATTGGGAAGGTGAGGAAAGGCCAGCTGTTGACATCTTAGTTACTGTAGTGGAAGGTTGGAACATGGAATTTTGGACTAGCATCATAATTTTTTCCTCATAAAAATGGATTTCCCACTGTCAAAAAGTTTATTCTGTTATGGGTTAACATATGAAGCTGCCTTATACGAAGTCAGACCACTGCTCTATCAGGCTCAGTATTCTCTACTCTGACAGTAGCTGTCTAGAGGCTTCTAAAAGTGGAAATTTTAGAGGTGGACAAACCTCACAAAAATGGCGCAAAGAAAACATATTTGTGTGTCTTAGGCCAATATACACAAAACCTGGGCTAGAGGGACGACTAGGAAATCTTTGAAGAACAAAACAACAGGTGTTGCCAGGGGCCTTGCACATGCAAACACTGCACCTTATGCATAAAACATTTGGTCTCTTGCTGAACTGCGGCCTCTCCTCAACCAAACTTTTCTGAGACCCATATCCTCAAGTTGTGGGAGTTATATCTACAAACCTCATGGGAACAGCCCTCATAATAGTGGTAAGTTCAAGCCACTGACCTGCAAAGCCTAAGTCACATGTTGTCAGGCTTCAGGGAATCAGCTTCTCCCCCCGGACAGTAGATAAGCAGAACAAAGGAAAATGAGTTTTCTTACCAGTTAGGAACTTTAATGATCACAGCGAGAGAACAAATAATCCATTTCCTAGGAATGGCGGTGCTCCCAATTAAGAGTCCCACCCACTTCCTCCCTAGTCACCTGGATCACTACTGTGTCTTGTAACCTGAGCTCGTAATCTATGTGCTTTCTGTTCTGCCACCCTATCACCTCTTATTGTCCTTGGGCTGGGTGGAGGAATGTTTTCCAGAGACAGTGAATCTGTTAGCTCTCTCTCTCCTAGTGCTTCTTCTCCTAGCTGTTCCCCATCCAGTATTTCCCAGCTTCTGCCTTCTGAACTATGTCCCTCTGCAAACCACTGTTCCAAATCTACACTGTCCTCCTGCTCCTGGGAAGATTCAGGATCCTGATCAGGAGCGGGGGGGGGGGAGCTCCCACCATTCCTCCTCAGTGCAGCCCTCCTCAGCACGGTCCCTGACATCTGTGTGCATTAAGTCCGAGCAGCTATTCCATCAGACTATAGGAAAGTGAAAGAGATGGAACTGTGGGGGCTACCAGTAGCTCCTCTTCTTGTAATATTTTTACTCCAGCTGGTCATTACAAGAATTCTATAGCTAAGAAAGCATCATTGAATTTTGTCTTTTCCCTCCTTCCCTCCAATTGTTTTCCCTTTTGTGTTGTGTCTTTTAGGTTTAAATCCTGAAGGCAGGGACTATCTTATAGCTGACATTTGTACACTACTCCAGCAACATTCTTTTATGAGCTGAAAATTGGGATAAAAATGCTTTAAATAAATAATCAAGTAAGCTCGGCTGGACAATTTGGAAACTCCAAGCATTTCATGACAGGTCTCACTGCAACCTCTGTTTAAGACCAGGATTGGCACAGAAGACATTGTTGCATCCTAATCATTTAAGAAAATGTGACCTCATTTTCACTGCAAAATCCCAGAATTTAGCAACTTTTTGGTCCACAAGGTGTGGTTGACAGTAATAGCATAAATGTAACATCTTCTGCATGCAAAGTTCATTAGCCTGGCCTTAAGGTCACTGCTTTTAATCCAACAGCCAAACATTTTATTCACACCAATTTGCAGGTACATCAAGAAGAAGAAATAGAGAGAACCAAAGGAGGGAGTGTGCATGCACACGAAAGCTCATACCAAGAACTAACTTAGTTGGTCTTTAAGGTGCTACTGGAAGGAATTTTTTTTGTCTTGACTGTGGTAAACCATATCCATGTGCATGGGCCCCTCTCTGCAGGAAATAAGAGGGCAGATGCACCTCTGGTAACTTGGCAAGCAATGCTTTGCTTACAGACCCGGTAGAAAGCAAAAAAAGTTAGCTGAACAATTCCGTTTACCTTTACTGCAAGCCCAGAGCCCGGCTAGCTCAGTCGGTAGAGCATGAGACTCTTGATCTCAGGGTCGTGGGTTTGAGCCCCACGTTGGGTGCCAGATGAAGTGAAGGACATGAGGCAGGAATTGATAGTGCAGGTGAGCTGCAAGCAAGCTGCCGGCCAGCTCTGTGGAGGCTCCTTTTATTGACACAATATGCAAACCCAGGCAGATACATTTTGGGCTGTGACCTTTACACATCTTCCAGTCCCGAGATCGTGGGGTGGTACATAGTTATTTTGGCACCTGTTTCCACTGCGTCATTTTCCCCTTGCACAGTGTATGATGAAGGAGACAAAGGTCTCAGAGATAAAGGTTACAGACAGGACACCGCAGACTACTGAGATGGCAAAAGTTTAGACAGAGGGCACGATGTTCAGACAGCTGTGGCTTTGTCTGTGAGGGGGAGTGTGCTCCGCATCCGAAGGTCACACGTGCAGGCAGCTGAGGCTGCCTGCTGGTGGGGAGTGTGCTCCGCACCCAGCGATCATCCCTACACCACTTACATTCCTTTTTTAGATTAACCTAACCACCTTGAACAAGTTGGCATCACCAGCAAATGTGACCATCTCACTGCTTGCCCCTAAATCTGCATCATTCATGAACAAGTTAAAAAGCTCAGGACCCAAATCTGATTCTTAGGGGGACTCCACTTACATTCCTCTGTTTTGAGAACTATTCATTCATTCCTACTCTCTGCTTCTTGTTTTTTCACGAGGTACTGGTCCATAAATGGATCTGTTTTATCCGTTGATGGTTAAGCATACTCAGGAGTTTTGGGTGAATTGCTTTATCAAATGCTTTTTGAAACTCTAACCTCCTATACATATACTAATCAATGCTTTATTTTTAAAAAAACTCTGAAAGGTTAGCCTGACAGGATCTACCCTTTTACAATAATATATACCAGTATATAGCAATATATTTTAACCTGAACTCTGCCTCTTTGGTGTTTGTTCAGCTATGCCCCAATCATACAATTCAAGACTTTACCCATGCTAAATGTGTGTGTGTTGTCATTTCACTCACCTGCACGCTAAGATGATTCCATTCCTTCACAAGAATTCTCCCCAGTGTCATTACTTTTATCGGTGGCTGCAGCCCATTTGCAGTGCGATAATAAAACATGGTCTCTTTCTCAGAGACTGTAAGCTTGAACACAGTCTGCCCATCAACAGCTTTCTCCACCATACACCTTTGGAAACAATAAAGAAGGAAAGTCAAAGGTCAACTTCCAGAGGAGTAGCTGAGCTGTATTACAAAAGCCACAGGAAGAAGAGGGAGAAGCGATGCCGTGTTTTGCAGGCAAATGCCTCTCTCCTTGGGTTAAGTTTTCACTTGGGATAATGCAAATTAAACATAATCATCTGTGGCAAGTGGAAGTGCATGGTGTCAATGCAGGCCACCATTGCTACCAAATGTAGAGTTGGGTTACACCACTGATGTTTCATCAATGCCTGTGTATTTTTGTGCATGCATAGAACTTGACAGGATTTTGTGCATGTGCAGAATATCAGAAATGCATGGAGCAAAGCAGGCCTCAGTTCCTATTTCATTGCAATGGTTTCTGTAGCACGGTCTTAATCATGATAACCCACTGAAGGGCAGTCCTAGGACTCAGCTAGACTGGTAAAGAAAACATGATTTATATGCGTTGTATATGCGATATAACATTGTGCCACCAGATGGTGACGTGGTGTCCTGTTTTTCTCTACCTGTTTTCCCTGTTTAAATTTACAACACTTTAAACCGAAGCACTTCTTTGATATGTCTAGATCCAGCCCTATTTTCACTCACTGTAAAGAGTAGAATGCCCTCCTAAAGGTCAAATGACAAGATGTAAAATTTGCATCAGTTTGGGCTGTGGGTATTGTCATGAACACAGCAGGCAGGGAATAGAAATGCAATCATTTCCTCTCGTACTGTGGTCTTCAGGAGAATTCGCCTTGCTTTGCGTGAACACTCAGCTACCTAGACTGGCCTATATGTTGCCCATACTTGGGTCCTTTGCATTTCAGACCAGTTTTAGTGGACTGAAAACAGCCTGACCTGAAAGCCAGGGTTGCAGTAGGAACATTTGAGCTAGAATCCTCCCAGTTATTCTTTCCCTGAATATGGAGTAGTAGTATGCAGACATGTTTAGGCTGAGCAAGTGTGGTTGCAAGCAGCGCTGACCTCCAAAACCTTGCAAACTGCTCCCTGGCCTCAGCAACTATCATTTTTTGCATTTAAATGGTAGGGTTGGGCCTTGCCGCTAAATTCAGTTGTATTCAGTTAGAATGGCATGTTCATGGCAGAATCTTTTGCTGCTCTAAAGATGATAAAATTATAACCTACTTTATACATGATCGTGTTCTTATAAGCAATACTTATATCAATAACAAACATTGAAATACATTAGAACGTGTGTGTGTGTGTTTTTGTAGTTTTTTTGGGGGGGAACACTGTTGCATTAGTTCAAAGTTATAAGCCACAACATGCCAAAAAATGGCTTAATACTAGTTGCTCCTAAGTCTCGTCACATTGCTTTAAACTGGATACAGTTATGGTTATGCCCGTTGACAGATTTGTGACTAACACACTTTTAATCTGATAAAATAAATAGAGTTGGACCATTACTCCCTTTCGGTAATGATTTTGATCCCATCAGTATTTGTCAACAGAATCTTTAAAGCCAAACATGCAGTCTGCAAGTTTACTAAAAATGCATTTCTTAACATATTGCCAATTCTGTTTGCATGTAAACATGTTAGTTTTTCGTTAACAAATATTTGATAGAAGACACAGCCAAGTAGGAAAATATTTATGAACTGGATTTACCCAGTTCCTGGATAAACAATAATTGGATAATCCAGGGTTTATTAATTTTGCTTATCTAAAAACAAACACCCCCACATGTGGACCCCTACATGTGTCATGACTTTAGTAAGGGAAGTGACCTTGATGTGTAACACTTTAAAATAAAATCCAGAATAATTGCATCATTTCTTGTTGGGAATTTTGTTTTCCTCTCTAGTATTAATTTATAGCTGCTCTCCAAGAAGTTACTTCTTTTTGAAGAACGTAGACCACCTTGGTAATACTTCCTGAAATGTGGGATAACAAACATGCTAGGTAATAAATAAATAACTGTACCACATGGGAGATGTCCTGCCATGTGCCCACTGCCAATCTAGAAACTGAAAGGGCAGTGCTTTCTGCTGATCATATTTGTATTCTTCAGTGGCTTCAGTCATTGTGGACCATCAGATTCTACTGAATCAATGGATGGTCTCTGTGGGCACTTGAGCTCTTGAATCATTTCAGTCTTTCAAAGAGAGACATGACATTGAAGATGGTTTCTCAATCTGAAAAACCGCCATGAACAAGAAACACAATACTTAAATGCAATAGGGTATATTTGCCGTTGTTCTGTCATGATGCAAATGAGGTATGAAATTGTTCTGGTGGTATGAACTGGGGCAATGATGTTGCCCTGGCATCACCTTGTGGGCCTACAGGCTGTCACTTTGGTATCGGGTTAAACTGGAAGGTCACCAAGTAGATCCAAAACAGGTTAGCTTGCTTCACAACATTGCAACTGTAGATACAAGGTGAATCTTGTGGCTGGTGCACATACCTAGTAGATACAACATAACAATGGCATATGCCACCTTCAGTGTAATAGATTATATGTTGCATAGTAAAGAAATGAGCCTCTTAAGGAAATGTATGCCATTGGAGGGGAGAAGTAATGGATATGAGACTCTAAGATTCCATCACTTTTGGCTGCCATAAACCCAGCTATACTGACTCCTTTCATGCCAAATATTTGGTAATAAACTTGTAAAATGGGATTGCAATTGACAGGGAGCATAGCAAGTCTTCCCTCAAATTGCTGCACCTAGAAAGTGACATTGTGTGCATTTGCAAATTTTATATGGCAATACAGTTCCATGTTTATATGTTTACCTTGTAGAATAGTTCCCCACTTCAAAATGCAATTGAGAGGGAAACACATGGATGTTAAAAGCTCTGCACACAGAGAATAAGTACAAAACAGAAAATGCTAGGCTACAACAATTCTAACCATGTTCGTTTTCCACAGACAGAAAACATTTTCCATGGTGAAGCCATCAAACATGTGATTCCCAAATGTAGTCCAAAGTGCTGGAGTCCAAGTAGGGCTGTACTGAATTATCATCATAATCATTACCACCAATCTTTGTTTATTCATCATCATATACTAAAAAAAAAATGCTGTTATGGTGACTTACAACAGGAGTACAGAACAAATAGAAAATAAACTATTAAACCTGAAAAACAATAAGCAAAGCTAAAGGCAATCCTATATTAAATCCCACAACAGCAAGATCACCATAAAATATCCCAACAGCAAATACCAGCAGTAGGCAAAAAGGTAAAATGAAATGCCAGGAAGAAAAGACACACCTTAGCCCGGTGCCAAAAATATGATAACACTGGCACTAGGTGGATCTCTCTAGGAAGAGTGTTTCATAGGGGAGGGGCCACTGCTGAAAAGGCCCTCTCCCTTATGGCTGTACTTCTGTCAGAGAGGGTATTTGGCAGTCCTCTTTTTATGACCTCAAGGTTCAGGTAAGCACATAATGAAAAAGGCATCCACTTGGTAGCAGGGCACCAAGCTAAGCAAAGTTCTATAGGTAAAGAGCAGTACTTTGAATTTTCCCTGGAAAGTGGGAACATTTTGGATGCCAGTGCAGCCAGACTAGAATTGTAATATGTTCCGAGTAAGGATCAGGTTGTCACATCCATTTTATATACACCTGAACAGTAACTTTGTATGCTACTACTATGACTGATTTTACAGATAAAGTCAACACCTGCCAGCTACTTACATTACACCTTCTTTCTCAGGTTTCAACCACACTATTAAGGTAAATGATGCCCCAAGCTTCCGAGCGTGGGGAGTGGAAAAGCAACCCTTTAGGTTATGAAAAATAAAGCTTGATGAGTTGCTCAGTGATCCAGGATGCAGGTCATTCTTGTCTTTTGTGATGCAGGCACCCTGACCTTTTGAGAGCATGGCAGCATAAGGGGCAGGTGATGATCTGTATGGGCACTCCTGAATGCAAAACTGCTGGGTACAGGAGAGGATACTTTCGACAGCAGCAGAGCTTTGACAAAAAGCACTCCGGTCTGGCAGCCCACAGGTAGCCTGGGTTGGCACAATGGAAATGTTTTTGAAAGAACCCACGTTTTCAAGTCTTGGGAAGTGCCCCTGAGAGCTGGCCAGGGGTAAAGATGTATAATGAGCCATTATGAATGTTTCAATGGCATGGAACAAGAAACCACAGTGCAAGGGAAGAGCCAGGCAAATCATGTTTACAGGAAGGTCTCCTCTTGATAAGGCATCCCTAAATAAGTAATGATGACTGCATCAGTGGCAATGCCCTTGGGTAGCCTGGTTTAGAGATGACGCAGCATTTCATCTTAATTTGAAATCCTGAGGGTGTCGCCCGTCTCATAACCAGCCGCAGACACGTGGGAAGTGGTTAACACCTGAAAGCCAACAGAAAAACAATGTATAAGGGAAATGGGTGCTTTGTACATAATCATGCATATACCTAAGGCCAGACTGACCTACATCTGCTGGGGAGGAGAGACATCAGATGCAATAGAAAATCTATTTTATCACTGTAATGGCATATGAATATGATTCTCCCTTGTCTGAGCTTCTTATCTTCTGGATTTTAATAACCTCACATAAATGAAGTTGTATAATACCTAAGCAAAATGCAGAACTAGATATAAGGAAGAATTATAATCACAAGGTAACTTTGATGGGGAAATGCATATGTGAAGCATGAAGCCCACAATACAGGAATTTAAAAAATATATATTTTGGCACATACAGGAATTTTTTAAAGAATTATTTTGGCACAACTATCTGAAACTTCAAATTCTGTATTTGCATGTGGACCATGTATTTTATTTCAGCCACAGAGTTTTCTATAGTTGAGCTACATAGAGCCACAGCTTTGCAATTCTATCTTTGAAGTGCAGAGACCTTTAACTCACGCAATGCCAACAACTGCAAGCAAAAACAAAAAAAACCCCCACCTTCTTAGCATGCAAAGTAATTTAAACATGGCATTTAGAAGTATATAAACACATGGCACATTTTTGAAAAGATACTCTAAGGTTAAACACACATACACACACAACTTTAAGTTTGCAAAGCACTTTGCGTCTTACCCCGATTGTCCATTTCACGCAGCTCCTTTTAGCTCTCAGCAAAGCTGATTAAAAACATATCACCATCTGTCCTGCGTGACCCTTTTCCTAGCAAATGTCTGTGCTCTTTCCGATACTATAGATAGATAACTTGGCGCATATACATATATATACACACAATACCGTGTAATTGTTATTGATAGGTAAGTTGAGTTGTTGTTGTTATTTATTGCATTTCAAAGAGACGACTGCTCAAACCTTCGGTTTGACAATTGGTTCAAATGGCAGGAACACTACTTCCCGTTGCCTGGCAACCGTGGAGTTACCCCCAGTAATTCTTAGTAAACAGGCCTTGGCAGGAGGCGCTGTGGAAGGAACACTCAGGTTCCCAGGTAAAGTATCTCAGACAGTAAGCACTTTAAGTGAGATGCCAGGAAACTGTCTGCTCTCCTCATGCTTACATGCAGGACTCTTAATCGCAGCGGGGGGGGGGGGCGGGGGGGGCGAGTCTGAAGCACTCAGGACACAACAGTGCATATCTAATTTTAAAGCAGCAGCGTAGAATATGCCGTCAACACCAGTGGGGGTTGTGGGGGGGGGAGAGGTTATGTTGCTGTTGTTTTCCTCTCTCTCTCTCTCTCTCTCTCTCTCTCTCAACACGCTTCATGTGTGTGAGGGAAAAGCAGCGTGTCAGCACACTCTCGCATTGTTGCTCAAATTCAAAGCATAAAATATTTAATACAGCCAGTGGCAACAAATTGGTTCTTATTCCCTTCCTTTGTGTTCAGGGGTTTCCATTCCCTGTGTTTCACCTGCTGCTTCAGCCACAGAATCTTTGTAGTTGTCAAAATGGCAGACAAAGCTTCTTTCCCACCAGAGGAAAGCAATACTACAGTATTCCCCCCCCCCGGGGGGGGAGAGGAACCCCACCACCAAATAAGTCAGGTTTCCCTGCTCACACCCACACCGTGTGTTTAAAATCCCACCACTTTAACAGCCATGGAGAATCCTGGGAACTATCATTTATTAAGGGTGTTGGGAATTATAGTTCGGCGAGGCCAGCAACCTTAACAAACGAGAATTCTCAGGCTTCACTGAGGGGAGCCATGACTGTTAAAGTGCCTCAGGTGACAGGGCCGGAACAGATTCTAATCACACGAAGGGGCTGAATTCCTCAATATTATTTACTCAATTTATATCCTGCCTTTCTTTCCAAAGAAGCCCAGGCTGGTAAAGACAACAACAACAACAACAACAACAACAACAAACAACAACAACAACTTTTTTAAAAAAAACAAATCTTTAAAAGTTTACTACTTTCCAAAAGCAGCTAAGATCCCTTCAACAGGTGGTCTCAATGTTGCTGAGAACAGTGTCTTTCGGCCATCAAATGCCTGACTAAACAGGAATGTTTTTAAATTCCTTATTAGACTTAGTCATGTGGGAGACAGATGCCCCTCACGAGGGAGGGCATTCCACAAATGGGAGACTGCCACCAAAAAGGCCCCGGGTCAATAAGGCTCACACCAGGAACAGTGTTGTATACCAAAAGACCCAGGATCTGAGTGATATATTATCTCACAGGCTTTTTTTATATATAAAAAACCAAACTCCATTAGTAGGGCTCCTAAGGTACAATGTTTTAGAACCAATCAACTATCATAATATTTGTATCTGTTTCTCAGTTCATTTGTCAGGTGGCCCAGTAACACAACTAGGGATGGAGAAGAATTTTGGTCAGTCCACATTTTAAAGGCAGCGTGGTGTCGTAGTTAGAGTGCTGGACTAGATGCGAAACCAGGGTTCAAATCACTACTCAGCCATGAGGCCCATTGGGTGACTTTGAGCCAGTCACTGTCTCCCAACAGAGCCTACCTCGCAGGATTGTTGAAATGATAAAGTGGGGAGAGGGAGAAGATTATATGCCACCTTGAGGTCCTTGAAGAAAAGGGGGGATATAAATATAAGAATAAAGAAACACATAATCTGGCCTAATTCATAGCCTCCATACTTACCTAGAAATGAGACTGGATTGCATACCACATACCACTCTAAATTTTGGGTTGTGGTTTTAAAAAAATAAAATACGGAAATGCATATTTTTACAGGGGGAAAATGTGTAGGGAAATGCATAGAATGCCAGCTGTCCAGATGGCTTATACAGTGGTACCTCAGGTTAAGTACTTAATTCGTTCCGGAGGTCTGTTCTTAACCTGAAACTGTTCTTAACTTGAAGCACCACTTTAGCTAATGGGGTCTCCTGCTGCTGCCATGCCGCCGGAGCATGATTTCTGTTCTCATCCTGAAGCAAAGTTCTTAACCTGAGGTACTATTTCTGGGTTAGTGGAGTCTGTAACCTGAAGCGTATGTAACCTGAAGCGTATGTAACCCGAGGTACCACTGTAATAAAAATGTAACCCAAAAATAAAACAGAAAAAGAAATGAAGAGCATAAAAGTAGCAGAATAATAAGCGAAACGGTGAAACAAAAAGCAGCTGGGAGAACCAAAATCAATAAAAGAAAGGGTACTCAAACATAGACCAAAAATAGAATGGTTCTTCAAATATAGCCATGGAGACAGGCACACATGGCTGGGATGGGCGTTTCAGAATCTGGTTGTGGCCTGAAAGGTGATGTCATTGGTTCTGCAATATTAAAAAAAATACCCAGTGTTGCACTCCCCTACATTAATCCCCCACTATACCACTGGATGGGACGTTGAGGATAGAGTTTTTGCACAGAGAGACATCTGCTAGCAGCAATGGCCAATTCACAGTAAAGAAGCAAGAAGGATAATGACTTGAGTCATCTATAGACATCCCCCTTCTCACTTATTTACTTGGAATTTACTTGGCTTTCGAGTGGAGACCATCTCTAAAACAGAGTAATTTCTGCCAACAAAGGTATAGTTAGTTAAAGCTATGGTTTTCCCAGTAGTGATGTATGGAAGTGAGAGCTGGCAAATAGAAAGGGGAAGAAATGGAGGCAGTGAGAGATTTTACTTTCTTGGGCTCCATGATCACTGCAGATGGTGATAGCAGTCACGAAATTAAAAGACGCCTGCTCCTTTGGAGAAAGACGATGGCAAACTAGACAGCATCTTAAAAAGCAGAGACATTACCTTGCCAACAAAGGTCTGTATAGTTAAAGCCATGGTTTTCCCAGTAGTGATGTATGGAAGTGAGAGCTGGACCATAAAGAAGGCTAATCGCCAAAGAATTGATGCTTTTGAATTATGGTGCTGGAGGAGACTCTTGAGAGTCCCATGGACTGCAAGAAGATCAAACCTCTCCATTCTTAAGGAAATCAGGCCTGAGTGCTCACTGGAAGGACAGATCGTGAAGCTGAGGCTCCAATACTTTGGCCACCTCATGAGAAGAGAAGACTCCCTGGAAAAGACCCTGATGTTGGGAAAGATGGAGGGCACAAGGAGAAGGGGATGACAGAGGACGAGATGGTTGTACAGTGTTGTCGAAGCTACCAGCATGAGTTTGACCAAACTGCGGGAGGCAGTGGAAGACAGGAGTGCCTGGTGTGCTCTGGTCCATGGGGTCACGAAGAGTCGGACACGACTAAACGACTAAACAACAACAATCTCTGGTGATGTCAAATCATACAATAGGCTCAGGTAAGAAAATGAGGGAACTAAATGCAGCTCATCCTGGGAATGCCCACTTGACCTGAGATAATTCTGGACTGATCACATTATTCACAAAGTGATTTGATTACGAAAGGTGAGGAGAACGGGAGACCAACAGTTTGCTCCCTCCCTCTGCCTTATTGCTTTTCCATCATGATCTATAGTAGATTTTTGCTTATGATTATGGAAAATGGGGGAGAAATATAATTTCCCCACCAAATTTGTAGTGCACACATGACCTCTGGCAGCATTCCCTTTTAAATATAAGAATAATTAAAGTTGAACACCTTAATTCATAATTGATCCCTCCATCCATCAATTTTGCTTTGTATTCTGTTCACCAAATTTTACCTCTTTGCAAAATTCTAACAATGTATTTGGTATTCAGAGTTTATTGCAATATATTTTACATATATGAATAGATTGTTGTAAATGCTGAAGCACTGACCTTCAGCATTTGATCTGTCCTTGCTACTTACATAACTCCTGAGGTATTGTTTCTTCTTACGGATAGAAAGACTTAACAAAGAAATTACCCAGCAGTGCATGAGCTGGATCAATTTCACTCCATCACCTAGTGCAAAATTCCGAAGACTACCTGGAACAAAAACTTGATATTTGTTATACTCTTTAGCTCCACCCTCCAATTTATGCAGAAAATGAACACGAAAAAGCTATGATATGACATGATAAAGCTATGAATTTTCGTGTCCAATTTGATTGATTTGCAGGGTTCTTTTTGTACAAGTTGCTCAATGCTAAATAATAAAACTACCAAGCATGTACATTTTTAATAGCTGGAGGGGGAGCTGGGTACTGACATCTCAGAAATAATTAATAACTTGTGTTTTAAAGGGGAGGAAATTCAGTATAAACCAAGGAGATAAATACTAAAGTAAAAATTTCTGAAGAAGCAGGAGGAGGAGGCAAATATTTTATAGACCTGTTAAGAGCCTTTTAACAGCTTTAAAAATGCCATACATCACACAGCATCTTTTAGCACCAGTATTTCCTTTGTTACTAGAGAGGCAGAGCTGAAAGTTTCTTTGAAACAACAAGCTCCTGACAACAAACCCATTCACCAATTTCTTTCCATTACTAGGTTGTATTATGAGAAGTAGGCCACTTAGAGATAACTCTGACTGGTTGCTGGGCTGGTGAGTTTTCTCCAGTCTCTCATCTGGGCTGGGTTTGGTCATAGTGCTAAAGCCATGCTTTGGCTAACTTTGACTTGCTGAATGTCCCAACAAACCACAAAGATAAGGTGCAGCCATATTTATATGATCAAACCCTGACTTACACATGTGTTCCATCCACTTGCACTGTCCCTTGATCTTGATGAAGGGAACATGCACTAGAACCACATGGGCAGTGGGTGTTAAGCAACACAACAAACTAGGATTAAGCCCAAGGTACAGATGTAACAACAAACCATTGTTTAGGGAAACCATGATTCACAAGTCAAGTTTAAACTTGTTGCCTGGTTTTCACTGGCTTAATAAACTAGAGTATACACAGGCTTTGTGAACCTGTGCTTCCTCTTTTCCTTTGTTCCTCCTTTCTAGCAGGTAAACAAACCAGAAAGCTGTCTTTAACCATTGTTTAAGGGGTTATCTGCAACTTCTGTTTACTGGGCTGGCAAGTGAACACAGTGCTGCAAGCATTTCCACACATCCAGCTCCAACTCCTCAGAAAACTGAAGTCTAGAGGTGGAGATATGCTTGGGGTGCTGTGATCACTTGCCAACCTAGCCTACCGATAATTGGAGAGATCACATTAGTGAGGCCAGAGCACCTGAGATAGTAGTCCTGTAAAATCATTGCCAGGTGCAG